TAACAGTCCTCACAGGGAACGTCACACCTTCTTTCATCTTCCTGGAGCTGATTGTTGGCTGAGTCCTCACAGGGAACGTCACACCTTCTTTCATCTTCCTGGAGCTGATTGTTGGCTGAGTCCGCCCCATTTTGGCTATTCTTCTATCCATTCCAATGGTAGTTTTTCGCTTTCTTCCACATCTTTCAGGTTTTGGTTGCCATTTTAAAGCATTTGCCATCATTTTAGCTGAGCAGCCGATCATTTTCTGCACTTCTTTATATGTTTTCCCCTCTCCAATCAACTTTTTAATCAAGGTACGCTGTTCTTCTGAACAATGTCTGGAACCACCCATTTTCCTCAGAATTTCAGAGAGAAATGCACTGTAACCAGCATGTCCAACATTTGCTGCCTTCCTTCCTTAAATAAGGGCAATCATTGCCACCTGTTTTTCAAAGAATGAATGACCTCACTAATAGAACTCCACACTGCTATTATTTTGAACACGCCCCTTTCAATGAGTGATTCAATGACACAGAATCAGCAGCATGCATGTCATGACTGTCGGGTCTGTTGGATTTCTATGACTCTACTACACCTGCTAGGAAATTATTTGCCATGTAGAAATATCATTTCTACCAAAAACAGTGATTGATCCGGTTAGTGATGTCTGACTGCTAGTATTTTGAACACAACTGTATATATATATATTGAACACGGCCAAAATTGTAATATTTCAAATATATGTCAGGCAGAGAAATTGGTACTATTCTGGTCACAGTTACTCACTGAAAGATTACGATGGCCAAGAATAGTGGAAGGTCATATGACAGGTATTGTGGCAACCACACAAAGGACCTGCATTACGCTACGTGTGAGTGGTCACGTTCTATGACACTTGGAAATGTGTGGTAGCTCTATAAAGATCTCCTGAATACAGACTTGATTCCCAGATCTCTTCCTTGTTTGCCGACACCCGGCCATCATACTTATGTGAGCCTGTTGTCCCCCCTTGTGGCTATAACCTCCTTCACTCTTCTAGGAAGGCTTTTTCCACAAGATTTTGTAAGGTCCTTTTGGGAATTTGTGCCCATTTGTGACATCAGGTACTGATGTTGGATGAGACCTGGCTCACAATCGATGTTCCAATTCATCCCAAAGGTGGTCAGTAGGGTTGAGGTCAGATCTCTGTGAAGGACACTTAGGTTCCTCCACACTAACTGGCCAAACCATATCTTTATGGAGCTGGCTTTGTACACAGGGGCACATTCATGGTGGAACAATTCCAGAACTATGGCCCTTTATATAGAGTTGCCCCCATTCCAAAACTATGCCGAATAATATGGAGTTTCCCCCATTTCAAAGCCACAACCATGGAATCCCTCAGCTCTTCTTGTCTCTGGCATCCCTCACCTCTTCTTGTGTCTGGCATCCTTCTCTACTTTTTGTCTCTGGTATCCCTCACCCCTTCTTGTCTCTGGCATCCCTCGCCTCGTCTTGTCTCTGGCATTCCTCACTTCTTCTTGTCTCTGGCATCCCTCACCTCTTCTTGTGTCTGGCATCCCTCACCTCTTCTTGTCTCTGGCATCCCTCACTTCTTCTTGTCTCTGGCATCCCTCACCTCTTCTTGTGTCTGGCATCCCTCACTTCTTCTTGTCTCTGGCATCCCTCACCTCTTCTTGTGTCTGGCATCCCTCACTTCTTCTTGTCTCTGGCATCCCTCACCTCTTCTTGTCTCTGGCATCCCTCTCTTCTTGTCTCTGGTATCCCTCTCTTCTTGTCTCTGGCATCCCTCACCTCTTCTTGTGTCTGGCATCCCTCACCTCTTCTTGTCTCTGGCATCCCTCACCTCTTCTTGTGTCTGGCATCCCTCACCTCTTCTTGTCTCTGGTATCCCCCATCTCTTCTTGTCTCTGGCATCCCTCACCTCTTCTTGTGTCTGGCATCCCTCACCTCTTCTTGTCTCTGGCATCCCTCACCTCTTTTCTCTGGTATCCCTCACCTCTTGTCCCAGGTGTCCCTCACCTCTTCTTGTCCCAGGTGTCCCTCACCTCTTCTTGTCCCAGGTGTCCCTCACCTCTTCTTGTCTCTGGTATCCCCCATCTCTTCTTGTCTCTGGCATCCCTCACCTCTTCTTGTCTCTGGCATCCCTCACCTCTTCTTGTCTCTGGCATCCCTCACCTCTTCTTGTCTCTGGTATCTCTCATCTCTTCTTGTCGCTGGTATCTCTCATCTCTTCTTGTCGCTGGTATCCCTCATCTCTTCTTGTCGCTGGTATCCCTCACCTCTTGTCTCAGGCATCCTTCACCTCTTCTTGTCCCAGGTGTCCCTCACCTCTTTTTGTCTCTGGTACCCCTCATCTCTTCTTGTCTCTGGCATCCCTCGCTCATCTCTTCTTGTCTCTGGTACCCCTCATCTCTTCTTGTCTCTGGCATCCCTCGGATAACCTCTTCTTGCCTTGGCGTCCTCCCCCTTTCCTTGTCTCCAGGTCCTGTACGTGGTGCCGAGGTGACAGAACAGACAAGAAGGAACCTTTGAAGTGTGATAATGTGGCAGGAATTCTCCATCTGCCAATCCAGTATTAAATAATTCACACGGCGCTCCCTGTCTCCAGTCTCCGCCGTACCCAGACATCCATTATCCTGCCACGCTGCTGTCACTCCAGCGGCCCAGGCCAGCCGCACCGGCTTAACCACTATCAGGGGAGAGAGAAGGATTCATTCTTCGCTGTGTATCACGGCAGCTCAGCTGTCACATCTCCTTAGAGCCCAAATCCAAGTTCTTTGTTGGAAATAAAATATCGGTTTCCCAGCAAGTGTGAATATTTAACAACCAGCTCTGGCTGCAACACTCACCTCCTCTCCAGCAACGTCCTCTAGAATAAGGTCCTGCTGCTGCTGCTGCTGGTCTTTATTGACACACATTATCATTCAGCCTACTTCCGGTGAGCCCAGGGTGTCAAGGACCCGCCCTCTTTGGGCATGTCATCACAGGACACTAGGACCACATTACTGTTGTAGTAAATGGTGCTCACACGTCATCACGTAGTGCAGAAGCAAGGATTACCCACCACCACAGGAAAGAAAAGGAGGAGAAGACCCCACATGTTACTTCTTGACTAAGGAGAATACAGGGGTGAAAAAAAGGTGCTGCTGCTGCCACTGGTCTTTATTGGCACACACATCATCATACAGTCTACTTCCGGAGTGCCCAGGGTGTCAACAACCCACCCTCTTTGGGCATGTCATCACAGGACACTAGGACAACAGTACGGCTGTAGTAAATGGAGCTCACACGTCATCACGTAGTACAGAAGCAAGGACTATCTTGTTACTTCTTGACTAAGGAGAATACAGGGATGAAAAAAGGTGATGCTGCTGCCGCTGGTTTTTATTGGCACACATCATCATACAGTCTACTTCCGGTGTGCCCAGGGTGTCAAGGACCATCCCTCTTTGGGCATGTGATCACAGGATACTGGGACCACAGTACCGCAGTAATAAATGGAGCTCACACGTCATCACGTAGTGCAGAAGCAAGGACCACCCACCACCAGAGGAAAGAAAGGAGGAGAAGAGGACCCCACATGTTACTTGTTGACTAAGGAGAATACAGGGATGCAAAAAAAAAAGGTGCTGCTGCTGCCGCTGGTCTTTATTGGAGCACATCATCATTCAGCCTACTTCTGGTGAGCCCAGGGTGTCAAGGACCCGCCCTCTTTGGGCATGTCATCACAGGATACTGGGACCACAGTACCGCTGTAATAAATGGTGCTCACACGTCATCACGTAGTGCAGAAGCAAGGAGCACCTTGTTACTTCTTGACTAAGGAGAAAACAGGGATGAAAAAAAGTGTGCTGCTGATGGTCTTTATTGGCACACATCGTCATACAGTCTACTTCCGGTGAGCCCAGGGAGTCAGGGACCCATCCTCTTTGGGCATGTCATCACAGAACACTAGGACAACAGTACGACTGTAGTAAATGGAGCTCACATGTCATCACGTAGTGCAGAAGCAAGGACCACCTTGTTTCTTCTTGACTAAGGAGAAGACAGGGATGAAAAAAGGTGATGCTGCTGCCATTGGTCTTTATTGGCACACATCATCATACAGCCTACTTCCTGTCAGCCCAGGGTGTCAAGGACCCACCGTCTTTGGGCATGTCATCACAGGACACTAGGACAACAGTACGGCTATTTTAAATGGAGCTCACACGTCATCACGTAGTGCAGAATCAAGGACCACCCACCACCAGAGGAAAGAAAGGAGGAGAAGAGGGCCCTAGGTGTTAATTCTTGACTAAGGAGAAGACAGGGATGAGAACTATGCATGCTAAGGATGGGGGGGGGGGGGGGGGTAATGGCATGGGGAAAATCTTTTTGCCCAAACTAGAATTTGGTAGTGTCCTGCTTTAGAGGTCCTTCAGCCCACCCCTGATAAAGATGCCTGTAGGATCCAGGTTTTCATGCTATCACCTACCCAAACCAAGTGATGGTGGCTGCTTAAACTCTGCCTCTGTGTGATTGAGGCCTCCCTCCCTCTGTGCTTCCAAAACACGAGAAGACGTATGACACACATCATACATGGATACATTACAGGGATTATTGTGACAGCTGTGCACATTCTAAAACATTCACACAGAATTTTTTTCCTATAAATAAGACCCCTAATTTGAAATGTTTTCTATTGTAAGGCCAAAGACTGCCTGCCTGCTTGTTGGTGGACAGTGTATGACTGAGTATGCCAGATGAGAGGAGAGGGGAGTGGGTCTCTCCTCTGAGTCACACAGAAGTGTAATCTGATCTCCTGCTATTCCGATCTATTTCAGAGCTGCTTTAGGAATGGAATGCTATCACTCTTGTTCGGGAGGTCGCCCTCTGCTGGCCGCGAGTGGTATATATTTTGTGAACACCTGATTGGATTTGTGTTTTCAGTACTGAACATCAGAATAGAGAATAGACCTTCCTTTTAAATTTGCAGCCATCTGATTGGTCTTTGCTTCTCCTTCTTCCTCCTCCAGGAGCCGTACTACGTGCGCTGCATTAAACCTAATGACCAGAAGTCGGCGTTGCTGTTCGATGACCGCCGCTGCCTCCATCAGGTGGAATATCTGGGGCTCCTGGAGAACGTGCGGGTCCGGAGGGCCGGATTTGCCTACAGGCAGCCCTATGAAAGATTCCTGCAGAGGTACAGCGTTCTACCTTTGTCCTACCCCTACCGTACCCTTGCCCTACACCTGCCCTTCCCTCCCCATGTCCTATCCCTGCCCTACCCTTGTCCTACCCCTTCCCTACCCTTGTCCTATCCCTGCCCTACCCTTGTCCTACCCCTTCCCTACCCTTGCCCTACCCCTTCCCTACCCTTGTCCTACCCCTTCCCTACCCATGTCCTACCCCTTCCCTACCCTTGTCCTACCCCTTCCCTACCCATGTCCTACCCCTTCCCTACCCTTGTCCTACCCCTTCCCTACCCTTGTCCTACCCTTGCCGTACCTTGCCCTACACCTGCCCTTCCCTCCCCATGTCCTACCCCTTCCCTACCCTTGTCCTACCCCTTCCCTACCCATGTCCTACCCTTGCCGTACCTTGCCCTACACCTGCCCTTCCCTCCCCATGTCCTACCCCTTCCCTACCCTTGTCCTACCCCTTCCCTACCCTTGTCCTACCCTTGCCGTACCTTGCCCTACACCTGCCCTTCCCTCCCCATGTCCTATCCCTGCCCTACCCTTGTCATACCCCTTCCCTACCCTTGTCCTACCCCTTCCCTACCCTTGTCCTACCCAGAGGCGGACTGACCGTTTGGAAACTCGGGCACTGGCCGAGGGCCCGGGGTCAGTAGGGGGCCCCATAAGATGCCCCTGGTACCTTTTTCATAGGCTTTTTTGAGTTTGAGCAAGGACACAGGGGCCCCATGATTCCATATTGCCTGGGGGCCCCATGAGTTTTCAGTCCGCCCCTGGTCCTACCCCTTCCCTACCCTAGTCCTACCCCTTCCCTACCCCTGTTCTACCCTTGTCCTACCACCGCCCTACCCTTGCCCTACCCCTGGCCTTCCCTACCCCTGTCCTACCCCTTCCCTACCCATGTCCTACCCCTTCCCTACCCTTGTCCTACCCCTGCCCTACCCTTGCCCTACCCATGTCCTATTCCTTCTCTACCCATGTCCTACCCCTTCCCTACCCTTGTCCTACCCCTGCCCTACCCTTGCCCTTCCCTACCCATGTCCTATTCCTTCCCTACCCATGTCCTACCCCTTCCCTACTCCTGCCCTACCCTTGCCCTACCCCTGCCCTTCCCTACCCATGTCCTATTCCTTCCCTACGCATGTCCTACCCCACCCATGCCCTTCCCTACCCATGTCCAACCCCTGCTCTACCCCTGCTCTACCCTTGTGCTACCCTTGTCCTACCTCTTCCCTACCCCTGCCCTACCCTTGTCCTACCCCTTCCCTACCCCTGCCCTACCCTTGCCCTACTCCTGTCCTACCCCTGCTTCAGACCTATTGAATGCGTTCCCACCGGTTGAGGCCAACGCCTCCGCTATCTTGTGCCCTGCTCCTTGCCATAGGCATTCTTATGACAGTCCTGACCATAGACCTTTATATCCCAAAAAAGGAATATCCACACAATAAAAAACTTCCCTGCGCCTTACTGGTGTTGTTCAGGGAAAGGCAAGACAATCACATCACAAGGACGTACAATACAAAGTCACTTGACACACGTAGTCAATCACATTTAGCGGTGGTCCGCAGTAGTCACAGGTGAAAGCACGTGCAGCACCTCACATCCGTCTCCCTACAGTCTCTCCTCTACCCAGGGTCATTAGTACTCACAGGACTGTGTTCTCTGTAGACTCCTCCTAGTTGGGTACATCTCTCCCGGGAACCCTCCAGGGAAGCAGCTTCATACAGGGTTCTCCAGCCTGGCCTGCAAGGCCTCCTCCTCCATAAGCTTTTGTATACACCAGAACTGCTCCTCTCCCCATAGGAGTCCAGAGCAGCTTGAAGCAGGAAGATGCAGCCCAGGAGGTCACCTGCTAGTCAGATGCCCCGACTCCGAATGCTCTCAGAAGCTTCTCAATATGATATCCAATACAAGAATGTACCTAAAGGCAACTGAAGCTGCCCGTTGACACAAACCCAAGGCCTGAAAACATAGGCCCTTGTTACTTGTACCTTCTGGACAAGAGGGACCAGCCACTGGGGTCCATGTTGTAGATGACCTTGCACAGTTCTGTTCCATCTATATGGCATTTATAAGGGGTTTGTGAAGTCCCATGTTTCATGTTGTTGCCTTCATGACAGATATAAGATGACCTGTGAATACACGTGGCCCAACCACCTCATGAACTCCGACATGGAAGCCACCAAAGCTCTGATGGATCAGCATGACTTCCAGGATGACGTGGCTTATGGCTACACCAAGGTTTTCATTCGGACGCCCCAAACCCTGTTCAGTCTAGAACATGAGAGGGCCCAGCTGATCCCCATCATTGTCCTCCTGATCCAGAAGGTAGGTAGAAATTCCGAAATATTGGCAACCATACAGAGGGAAACGACTTACCAAAAATAATGGTAGGTCAGAGGTCAGCTCTTCTGGGGGGGCTCTGGTGGATGCATTATGGTATTGGTTCTTCTCAGGAAAGGGTGTGAGCCATGATGGCTGGGAAATCTGTGGGTGTTGCTTCTACACCTTCAGTCTTGCACAAGTGTGCTGGATCCTCCCCTTCAGTCTTGCACAGGTGTACTGGCTCCTCCCATCCAGTCCTGCATAGTTGTACTGGCTCCTCCCCTTCAGTCTTGCACAGGTGTACCTGCTCCTCCCCTTCAGTCCTGCACAGGTGTACCGGCTCCTCCCCTTCAGTCCTGCACAGGTGTACCTGCTCCTCCCCTTCAGTCTTGCACAGGTGTACTGGCTCCTCCCCTTCAGTCTTGCACAGGTGTACTGGCTCCTCCCCTTCAGTCTTGCAAAGGTGTACCTGCTCCTCCCCTTCAGTCCTGCACAGGTGTACCTGCTCCTCCCCTTCAGTCCTGCACAGGTGTATCAGCTCCACCCCTTCAGTATTAAACAGGTGTACCTGCTCCTCCGATTCAGTCTTGCACAGGTGTACCAGCTCCTCCCCTTCAGTCTTGCACAGGTGTACTGGCTCCTCCCCTTCAGTCTTGCACAGGTGTACCGGCTCCTCCCCTTCAGTCTTGCACAGGTGTACCGGCTCCTCCCCTTCAGTCTTGCACAGGTGTACTGGCTCCTCCCCTTCAGTCTTGCACAGTTGTACCGGCTCCTCCCCTCCAGTCTTGCACAGGTGTGCCAGCTCCTCCCCTTCACTCCTGCACAGGTGTACCGGCTCCTCCTCTGGACTGGAATGGCTTCCTCTGATGTCACTGCACACTGAGAGCTTCTCACAATGTACATTAGAAGCTGCAGCCAGTCAGAGAGAGCTCCGCCTCATTTCCTGGCTGGAGGACGTCCAGCATCATCTAGCACTTTCCTCCCCATCCTGACTGCCTCTGGCCCCACCCCTTCCATTTTTTGGATTTCATTTCTTTCAATCATGGAGGCTCAGCATCACATATGGGCGTTACCATGCATAACTCCTCCCAAGAGCCAGCGATATCATCAGGACTGAGGCCTCTTTAGAGGAGTAGTGAGGCAGGGTGCTGTGATGCATCCAGGAAGCTATGTACAGTCCCCCTTCTGGCCCCTCCCACCAGCCATGATCTGCTTGCATTTCATAGAGAAGCACAGAGTCCCAGTGATCATATCACCTGGTCTAAAGTAGGGTATGTAATGAAAGCAGGTTTTAGTTAACAATGTCATTATCATGTTGATGTGTGGGGGAGGGGAAGGGGGAGGGAAGGTAAAATATAGGATTAACCTTCATCTTTCAGATATTAAAGTGATATTTAGTGACGGGTTTGGCTGTCTGAAGATATATCTCCCCAATGATAAATGTCAGTAATGATCGTGGGGCGGGGGGTCTGTCTGGGAATATAAATATATTTTCTCTTCTCATTCTGGGGGGCGATGTGCAGTGGGGGGCCAGACGGACGCGGCGCAGGAAAGGCCGGTGTCACCCGCAGGTACAGACAGCAGGAGAGCAAAGAAGAGGGAAACAAATTGAATTTTCCACTTTGTGCTCGGAGCTGTCGCCTGTGATTTCTTCAAGCTTGAGCGTCCCCTGACTGGCCCCGGGGGGCCCCTGCGATCTGCAGCCAGGGTAGAAGGGAGGAAAGCCTTGTTCTATGTATGTGCCCCCACTCCTCCCCTCCTCCAGTCGCCTCTCACGCATCCTTGGAGCGCAGCGTATTTGTAAGTCAGTAGGAACTCCTGTCGGGTTCAATCAGCGCGGGTGCGGCTGGGAAGACGGGGCCCCGTCAGGACCGATTACTCAGAGGGATGGCGGCTGTCCGCGGCACTTCAGGAACGTCGGCTGACTGAGCACCGGGCATCATGTGACCGTGGCGTCGCATCGGCAGAAGAACGTTCGCCCCTTTCGGGTCTGATCCAGGGGCGGACTGACAACTCATGGGGCCCCCGGGCAATAGGGGATCATGGGGCCCCTGTGTCCTCACTCAAACCACACCCAAAAAAGCCTATGAAAGGTACCAGGGGCATCTCATGGGGCCCCCTACTGACCCTAGGCCCTCGGGCAGTGCCCGAGTTCCCAAATGGTCAGTCCGCCCCTGGTCTGATCATTGCGTCGCGCTGGACGCACGCGACAACATTTTTTTTTTTTTTATGCACATCTAAACTCTAAAACAACAACGTCATATATTGCTGCTTACCTTAGATACGAAAGCTGCATTAGTTTTCTTTTTTCAGGGTTTTTTTTCTCCTTTGTTTTCCCCGGTGATCCTGCCAGTAACACACTTCCTGTCCTGGGGTGACAACGCTCACTGACTGTACTGTATCAGGATAGGACCACAGGACTCCTCCCCTCTGCTGCTGTCCATAACATAGAAGGGGGGTAGTTCTGTAGTCCTCAGAGCAGGGGCGGACTGACAACTCATGGGGCCCCCGGGCAAGAGGGGATCATGGGGCCCCTGTGTCCTTGCCCAAACTCAAAAAAAGCCTATGAAAAAGGTACCAGGGGCATCTCATGGGGCCCCCTACTGACCCCGGGCCCTCAATAGGGGATCATGGGGCCCCTGTGTCCTTGCCCAAACTCAAAAAAAGCCTATGAAAAAGGTACCAGGGGCATCTCATGGGGACCCCTACTGACCCCGGGCCCTCAATAGGGGATCATGGGGCCCCTGTGTCCTTGCCCAAACTCAAAACCTATGAAAAAGATACCAGGGGTATCTCATGGGGCCCCCTACTGACCTCGGGCCCTCAATAGGGGATCTTGGGGCCCCTGTGTCCTTGCCCATACTCAAAAAAGCCTATGAATAAGGTACCAGGGGCATCTCATGGGGCCCCCTACTGACTCCGGGCCCTCGGGCAGTGCCCGAGTTTCCAAATGGTCAGTCCGCCCCTGCCTCAGAGAGAGCTGGGAACAATGTAACTGATAAAAGTGCAGCACAGGCAGGGGCGGACTGACCATTTGGAAACTCTGGCACTGCCTGAGGGCCCGGGGTCAGAAGGGGGCCCCATGAGATGCCCCTGGTACCTTTTTCATAGGCTTTTTTTGAGTATGGGAAAGGACACATAGGCCCCATGATACCCTATTGAGGGCCCGGGGTCAGTAGGGGGCCCCATGAGATGCCCCTGGTACATTTTTCATAGGCTTTTTTTGAGTTTGGGCAGGGACACGGGCCCCATGATCCCCTATTGCCCGGGGGCCCCATGAGTTGTCAGTCCCCTCCTGAGCTCAGGAAGTTACCAGCTCACTGGATGCCTGGCAGGATCTTTTTTTTTTTTTTTGTACAGATGGAATATTAAAGAAACCAAAAGGGAGCTTACAAGAGAAGATCATTCAAATGACAAAAAGCTGGTGGCATTTTGTTAAAGTTCAACATAGGTGTAACTTTATTGTTCTGGACAAGCAGACACTTAGGGATCTGTTGATCAAAAATTCGTCGGACGAATGTCACTAGCGTTTGTCCAGTGATCACAAACTATGACTGTATTTTGCTTCAAATTTCCTATGAGCATCAGCTCCATCTAGTGGCCATAATTCTTTTTTTTCCCTGAAATATTTAAATCAGGAAAGTACCACATTATGGCCACTAGATGGAGCTGCTGCTCATAGGAAATCAACATATTAAAGTAAAATCCCTCCACTTATAAAAAAAAAAGTAAAATTTCAGCCTGCCTCTAGCTAGCCATAAATATGTCCCCTCCCCCTCCTGCTACCTATGCTGAAAAACCTGTATAAAAATGCATATACTTACCTATTTTCAGCCCGCTCTGGTCTGGTAACATGATCCCGTGTGTCAGTCAGTGGCAGCTGCAGGGGAGAGGAGGGAGTGCCCAGGCTTGTGATCCGGCTCCTTGGGTATCAGTCATTGGCAGCTGCAGGGGGGAGGGAGTGCCCGGGCTTGTGATCTGGTTCCCCAGGTATCAGTCAGTGGGAGCTGCAGGGGAGGGAAGGGAGGCCCCAGGCTTGCGGTCCAGTTCCCTGGGTATCAGTCAGTGGCATCTGCAGCGGGAGGAGGGAGTGCCCGGGCTTGTGATCCAGTTCCCCAGGTATCAGTCAGTGAGAGCTGCAGGGAAGAAGAGGGAGTACCCAGGCTTGTGATCTGGTTCCCTATGTATCAGTCAGTGGCAGCTGCAGGGGAGGGGAGGGAGTGCCCAGGCTTGTGATCCAGTTCCCTGGGTATCAGTCAGCAGCAGTTGCAGGGGAGGGAAGGGAGTGCCCAGGCTTGCGATCCAGTTCCCTGGGTATCAGTCAGTGGCATCTGCAGGGGAGAAGAGGGAGTGCCCAGGCTTGTGATCCGGTTCCCTATGTATCAGTCATTGGTAGCTGCAGGGGAGGGAGTACCCAGGCTTGTGATCCGGTTCCCTATGTATCAGTCATTGGCAGCTGCAGGGGAGGGTAGGGAGTGCCCAAGCTTGTGCCCAGGCTTGTGATCCAGTTCCCTGGGTATCAGTCAGTGGCAGCTGCAGGGGAGAAGAGGGAGCGCTGACAATGGCTGGGGCATGGAAGCCTATGGGTGATGTCACCACTCCCAGAAATCCTAGCCCTTGTTGGAGTGTGCTTTCTTCTCCCCTGAAGCTGCTTCTGGCTGACACAGCGGATTGTGGTGCCGGGACCAGAGCGGGATGAACATAGGTGCGTATACTGCAACCCTGAACCTCCTTTTCTCGGGGTCCCGCCCCCCAGCACACACGGCTCCTCCTCTTTTGTATGTGCCGTCATAGGAAGCTGCTTGCTATGGTGGCTGCTGTTAGAAACCATGGGGCCCCATACACTCTGCTAGTTTACTATGCTTCATCTATGAATGAACACAGCAAGTGATCAGTTAAAAAAGTTAAATTTCAGCCTACCCCTAAGTAGCCCTAAAAATGTTCCCTCTCCCCTCCTGCTAGTTTACAATGCTTCAGCTATGAACGAACACAGTGAGTGATCAGTACCTCATCTCTCATTGTGTTCATTCAAGAAAACGAAGGGGCTGGTAAATGTGCCATATTTACCAGACCCTTCCCCCACTCTGCATCCTGAAGGATCCTACTGTGTGCTGGCAGCTCCTGATTGGAAGGAGAAGAGGGAAGCCGGCAGCACTGCGGGGATGGGGGCACACGGGGGGGGAACATAAGGGGGGGGCTGGGCAGCAAGGGGAAATGTATGGTGCACAGGGAGGGTGATGGGCGCAGCTGGGGAGGGTGGGGACAACAGTTACTGGAACCGATCCCCTGTAGGGCTCTCTCTGCAGCAACTGAAATCCAGCGGGAGGGAGAGGAGGAGAATCCGGCTTTCAGCTGCTGCAGAGAGAGCCCTTTAGGGGAGGAGCTGGGTGAATCAGATGTGGGCAGGGAGGGAGATCAGCATGGGGGGCAATTACTGGAACCGATCCCCTGTTGGGCTCTCTCTGCAGCAGCTGAAATCCAGCAGGAGGGGAGGAGGGAGAAGCCGGCTTTCAGCTGCAGCAGAGAGAGCCCTTCAGGGGAGGAGCTGGGTGAATCAGATGTGGGCAGGGAAGGAGATCGGCACGGGGGGGGGGGAAATTACTGGAACCGATCCCCTGTTTTGCTCTCTCTGCAGCAGTTGAAATCCGGCTTCTTCTCCTCTCCCTCCCGCTGGCTTTCAGCTGCTGCAGAGAGCCCTACGGGGGATCGGTTCTAGTAATTGCCCCTCCCCCCCGTGCTGATCTCCTTCCCTGCCCACATCTGATTCACCCAGCTGCCTGGGCCCCTCTGCTGGCCTGGACCCCATACAGGAGGACTGGCTTAACCCGAATGTTGAAATTATTGGCGTAGTGACCTCCATAGCTGCCCATGGGGCTGCTTTACTGCCTGGGTGTTGGATGGGGGAGGGGCACATAAGGAGGCAAATTAGACCGTGAAGTGGGCAGTCTTCAAAGACCTGACCTCAGAAAGCTCTGGGGTCCTCAGGAGCGCAGACCCTCCTACGTCATCCATTTGTTGAG